GATAGATAGATAGATAGATAGATAGATAGATAGATAGATAGATAGATAGATAGATAGATAGATAGATAGGTTTCTGTAATATCTCCAATTATCCTCCAGATGGCGACACTTCAGCACATTTCCCTCCTCAGCAAACCTGCTAAAATGGCTCATGTACAATCTAAAAAAAGACCGGTGTCAATGAGTTTACAGTCATTATTTTTGTATAAATGTTAACACGACCGGCTCTGACATTTTCCACTGCTCACAATAAGGGGTGACATCCTCCCTCCCGTGAGCCACCATCAAACTGGCCTTGCTCCAAATGCTCTGCGAAAAAAATAAAAAAAATCTGACATATTCTGCCAAGTGAGTTTTTGGCCAGGTTTTTTTTTTGCATGTTGACTGAAAGATGCACCACAAGAGAAATGCAGCGATTTGACAGTAACGAGGTGGGTAATGAGTCTAAGATGGATGGTTAAATGTTAAAAAACAGAGCCGCTCGTACCCCTCGAGTTCACTCCCTCCATCATCAGAGAGGTGATTTTTTTTCCCTTGATTCATCGGGAAATCCTGCCAGTTGGACGCTCTCCCAGTCATTCCTAACTAGCCTCTCATACCCCTTCATTTCCTGAATTCCCTTTTTTTTTTTTGGTGATTTTCTACATAACATCCTCACATTGTGTAAAACTCTCTATTGCAACTCCGCAGACCTTATTATCTTTGTCATCTATATCTCTGTTGCTAAGTAACTTGCCTAAGCCTTCTGTCAGCATCTTATAGTCACACTTATGGAAAGCACGAGTGTATATTTACATTGTGTTTTTTTTTTTACAGCTGTGGTGGGAAAGGAGGGCCTGTAATTTAACAAGATCCAAGAATAGTGGTCTAGTTGGCTGGAGGCACAGATTTAAAAGAAGAAAAAAAAAGATGAAATAACAATGGGGATAATAGAATTGGAAATATGGAGGCATTATACGGCATAATGAATGATCCAACTGGCCCTCAGCTGTGCCTGTGAGCAGGGTGGATCTTTATCATCTATTACACTGAAAAGTTCATTAGCTAACAAATTGAAAATTCATGTTCAAGTGAATTTGCGCTTGATAACAGCGCAATATATCAAAGTTATGAAGTTTCTATGAGCTCTCCATCAATTCTGTCCTGCAGAGCAACAATGTGTCTTAATGAATGAAGTCTTTTTTTTGTTTTTTTTTTTGCTCTGACACGACCTACGTTTAATTACGAATAAAGAGAAACGGGTTCTTTGGGGAGTGAAGGGAGAAACCAAACGTGTGATGGGCAAAAGGAAGCAGATGTGATTTCACTGCAGAAAAATGTGGCCACTCTTGTAGGTGCCGAGTTAGTTTGCAGAACTGGAGTTTCCAGAGAGATAGTGAAAGTGGAAGAGATGGGTGTTTGTAAATGAAATAAATCTGGTGTGAGCTGCTTTGTTGGGCTTTTGTTAGAGAGTCCAGCTTCCGTAGAAAACAGCTTGGTGTCAGAATTTCCCTTGTGTCAGCATCTGTAACAGCCTTTACATGTATTAAACTGATCACATGTAAAAAATCTAAAAGTCACTACAGCTTTGGAAATAACGACTAGAACACTGAGCATCATTGTCTGCCTCTTACTTTGTAGGTTTTGCTAGAAACCAAACTGCATTTTCTTTTTATGCTTGTGATGCACAGATTTTTTTTGCTGATTCCAAGCCAGTTAGCAATCACTCTTCTCGTCATCTTGCAGTTTTCTCCTTTTTGGATTATCTGTACAGCTCGTGCACAAAATAAAGCTTTTCTTGTTGCTCTGCTGGTGTAATTTTTTGACATTTTAGTCCAATGCATCATCATAGTTTATTGCATGTATTGAATTACAATAAGACTTGTATTTGTTAAACTACTATGATACAATAAAAAGGCCTGCTGTGTAGACGTGGGAAAGAAAAAACAAGTGGTTTAAAAATGATTTCCAAAGCTGCATATGTGTCTGACAAATGTAGTGAAACATACATTACAGTATCTGAAAGGTGGATGAGGAGCAGATCTTAAAAAGGAAATGAGTAAAGTACAACCAGGATGAGACAAAATGAAATTCATGTGCTGGATCTTGCACATAAAAAAACAAAATGCCATAATATGAGAATAGATGCAGTGCATGGCAGAAAAGCAAAAGATATACGTGTGATGCATGATTGAAATAAAAGAGCAACATCACACATGGTAATATGATGGATATTGCACATGATACTAGAACTGATGTTGCACAAACTGCTGAGGAAAGTAATCTTGCAAATGATGTTGATATTATTGCTCAGAAGTATCTCAAAACTGCACTTAAGCACAGTGATTATACTTTGTTATTTACACCATTTTTAAACATTACAAATCCAGACTGTTTACTTTGTTTAAGGGAGAAAAGTTTGGATACAAGATTAAATCATGCAAAACCCAATTCATCTGCAAATAATCAATATACTGTTGAGCAGCTGATCAATGAGCGACCTTTAGGCTCTGGAGGCTCCAGCTTCAGGAAGCCCACCTTGAACGCCTCCTCCAGACCCGAGGTCCATCCAGGCCTGCTGTGAGCACCACTCAGCCCCCTGCACCTGCCGTTCAGCAGCCCGAGCGAGGCGGTCAGCAGCGGAGGCCCGGAAAGACTCGAGTGGAGCCGAACGCAGCGCTCCCTCCCTCCCCGGTCCTCCTCCTTCAGTCGTGGTGCAAGCAGCCATGTTGCCGCGAGCTTGTTCCGGTATGAGGGCAGGATCGTGCGCATAGACTGCAGCTCCTCGCCTTTCTCCCCCCTGGTCGCCCGCGACTCGCACCTCCTGACGAGAAAAGCCCACTGTGCCGATAATGGATTTTACAACTTGATGATTCCCCCTTCAGTCGGCTGGAATAAGCAGTCGGTGTACCGACAGGACGAACTGGTAGATCGCCACACTGCAGTGCAGCACTGGTGAACGACCTTATTCCAATCACGCAACACAAGGAAGAGCGCCGGTGATTTCCGTGGATTTTGAGTTTCGTGGGCTGCTCTGTGGCAGTCACCGCCGCTGCGGGCGCTGGGGGAATAGGCTAACCAGCTAGCTCTGCCTCAAAAGAAACGCTGAATTAGCTAGCTACATGGGCTAATATCGAGCAGCTAGCGCAACAAATTAATTCGTGTTTCTCACCTGCCATGTGAGCGTTTTACAAGGTGCTGCTTTTATTTTTCGGATACCCAACCCCGGATATCTCACTGGGAATATCTTGAATTGTTTTGTGTGAGTTGGGAAGGTCGAGACCTCGCCGGGAATAACTTTGGCCTGAAAGTTTGTGGACCCCGGACCTGGTTTCAACCCTGAAAGGAAACATCTCTGCCCCAAAAAGAGAAAGACAGACGACGACGTTACGTTATGAAAACGACGCTGGATAAACGTTTGTTGTAGATTTCGGCGACAGTCGGGGCTCCCTCGGACGTTAGTTAGCAGCCTCACAGGTTAGCATGTTAGCCACCTAATTGAACCTTGTCTTGTTCAATACAACCAACTTTTCTTCAAGCTAGCACAAGTAGCTAGCTGGCCAAAACGTCACAGCACCAGGCTGTTAGCTCGGCTCTAGTGTCGGTGCTGTAGCTCGCTTGCTCACCATCGACGCCGATACATGCTAATTGGGAACTGAATGTTTTCAGACCGAAGCTGAAGAAAACAGCGGCTTTTCCTGTTTTGTACTTGTTGACAAACATGGGACGTGCGGTTGCTGCTAGCTAGTTTCTAGCTAGCTGGCTAACTCGGCTAGCCGCTGATGTGGGATTCAACTTGTTGATTCACGGGTTATCTGTCGTGCTGCTAGCTGGCTAGCACTGGACATCTGTTGGAAATTTCCCTCTACCATCAGCCACACGAGTTTTAAATGCACAAGAGACACTGACGAATCGTTCTTGTTTCACAGTTCCTTTTCCCTTTTTTGCAACTCCCAAGTCTTTCAAAAATGTCAGCAAGGACCCCACTGATGCAAGTCATTGAAAATTCGGCCGGGCAGGTAAGATGAACCTCTAAAATACTTCTCCTGCATATTGTTATACATGATGTGTACCCACTGAGCTAGTTAAGTAGGAAGTTGTTATCTGCTGTGGAGAGAGGCCCTGTTTGGCCTTCTCCAGTCTCTGGTTGTCTCTGCTTTTCAGTGTCTCTGTTGTCTTTGCCACACAGCAGTGATTCACAGGCTTGCCTACGCACTCACACTGGATTTCCCACTCCTTGCAGAATAGCAGAGCAAATTTAGCTTGCTGTTTAGTCTGTGTCTTAAGGCATGTCCTCCTACTTGACTTTTTGTCACTTTGACCTGTTGCAATAGAGACAACCCTGTCAGCTGGTTCCACATGAATTTCCCAGAGCTGACACAAGTCCAGCATCCACATGTTAGTTTGATGATCTGTGATTTCACTGTAGTCCATGTGTGACCAATGTCCTTTTTCCATTGTTGAGTGTCAAAACAATACAGTAGTGTTGGAAAATCCTGTTGTTTATGGGAAAGAAGAGAGCTTAAGGAGGTTTTATTCAATTTCTATTTAGATTGACTCTCTTCTGTCCTATTTTTCAGAAGGAAAAAGTCCATGTAATGTTTGTGCTGGGCTGTTTTTACACCATAACTTTGAATATTTACTAAAGTGCCGCTGTTGTGTAGCAAATAAAGCATGGGTGAGCTTTCTGAGTATGTGGTTGAAATGTAAATTTGTAAGACAGAAAACACATCATTCACTGATTGATGAATAAATTGTACTCAAAGGGGTCAAAGCACTTGTGAAACACTTGTATTTAATGTCACAAGTAGGCCTATTGTTGAAATAAGCTCCCAGATGTTTAACTAGAGCTGCCATTTTTTTGGATTTGATTCAGGTGCAGGGATAAATTAAGATATTCTAGCAGCACACAACTATTACACATCCTCCTCTAACCTACAACAAGGCTGCTGACCCCAATCTGTGCGTCAAATGGCTCCGAAACGCACGATAAATCTCAGTTCATCAACTGCAAAGCGCTAATTACAGCTCTTGAGATTGTGCGATTTTGATTTCAAGGGCCTTGATTAAGGCAACACTTTTGAGTAATGTGTTTAAAAGCCAAAGAAACCCCTTTGGCTGCGCCGCAAATCCATACAAGAAGGCTGGAACAAAGCCCCTGCTTCCAAGACTACAGTATCAGCCTTAATCTTGTAGACAGTTTTATCTTGTTATTATGAAAATGCCACACGCGCTCACATGAAAGCCATTATAGTTTCCAGAAAAGACCATGACTTGCATTACGAGGACAGCTGTTGACAAGCATTACTTGGTATTTGTCCCTACAAATGAAAAATCTCTCATGAGCGTTGGATGGAAAAAAAATGTGTGTGTCGACAGTGTAGCCAGTGGATAATCGTCAGCATGTGTCGAGCTAAACCCGGTTCTATATTTGTGTTCCTCGGGTGTCTGTAGGTAGGTGAATGCAGCCGAGGTGAGGATTTGGCGTGATGGATTGTGTTGGGGAGTAGCTTTGTTGAGCACAAACATAGCAAAAACATTTGATTAAACCCTTTTGTGAGACTGACTTAATACCATCGGTTTGTCAGTGCCGAGCTATACCATGATAAATACGGGGAGTGTGACTAACTGGTTCTTGTTTTCAGTCCTGTCACAAGAGCTGCACCCTCTATCAAAGTTGGCTACTTTAAACATTGAAAGCCCAACCCAGGTGTGCGTGACAGGTGTGCAGCCAACCAGACCGCAGACCTGCTCCTCGCAGCCAATAGGAAAACGCCTCCCGTTGGTGGCGGCACAAAGGTTCAAAGATTACGTGTGTCTTTGTTTCTCATAAAAATAAAGCGCTGACAGAAGTTCTGTGTTGATACCACGATCGCACTTCATGTGTTTGTGCTGCTCGATCGACGCTCCAGGTCACCGCTTCAAAAAGAGGGAAAACAGATCGACACCGGTGTGTTGGTGTAGGCAAGAGTCAGAGTGACACAAGCATATTCGTACATGGCTACACCCTTATGGGAACAGAGGTCAGGAGTGATACAGTCGATTATATAAGCCGCCTTATCCACTGGCGTACACACAGACGGGGCATCTCCATTTCCAGTGGGGTTTTTAAAGTTGATGTCATAGTTAAAGTTAGGTGCTTCTTGAACACACTGGCGCAACACAAAGTTGTACAAACAAATGAGTGTTAACCTTCAGTGTCGGCAAACTTCCTCCCTGAATTCAATGAGACAACTGTGCGGGATTCTGCAGAGGACCTTGGCAAGTCCATAAAAAAACATTTTAGACCAGGCTCTACTTCATCCACACGACAATGCAATAATATTCTTAGAAAAATTCTTTAAGTCGTGCATAGCTGGGGAAATACCTCGTGGCGTGCCACAAGCCAAGATTGAAAGGAGCTACGCTGCTGCATATGAGTATAAAACCAACCTGCAGTGTGTTCATGATTAATGGCAACTGGAGCTAAACTTCTGTGCATGCTGTGTTTGTGTAACCTTTAGCAGCACCTTGTGTTGTCTCAGTGTAAGCTATTGTTGGTCTGAATGGGTTCGTACTCATCCTACGGCACCCGGTGAGGATTTAGGGGGTGGAAGGAAAAAAAAAAAAAAGTTTGGGGGTCAAAGCACATTCTCGACTGGGTTTGTAGGCAAAAGGTCACGGATGGATACTCCCATACAAACACAGTCTGTTTTAACGGCCGTGTATATGAAGCCCTTTGGTGTCGGGTCTCAAGATACGGGACAAAATGGCACCGGACATGAGGACGGACTGAGCGTCGACGTGACTCTCTGTTCCCGTCAAGTGTATATTTTGATCCGTGAAAGCAGTTCGTTCAACCCTCTTCTTTCTCTGCTTCCTTGCAACAGAAAAGTTGATTTTTAATATTTTACTTTGAGTCTTAAGTGTGACTTACTTCACTTGACAGTTTTTCAAACCCTTTTTACACACGACTGCCAACGAAGCTGCGAGTTAATGGTTTATTAAAGTCTGTGGGGGGGTTGTAGGGTAAAAGTTACTGACAAAAGGCAGCCCTGCCATCCAGGCTCCATGAGCAGTTGCTGGGCACATATCAGAAGAGAGCTGTCAAATGTAGAGAAGTGACTTATGACATCTATCTGACGGTGTGAAATGTCAGATATGTTGAGTGGCTTTGATCGGTCATGTTCCCATGTTATGCAAGGCTTCGTGCGGCCTGCTAGTTTGAGGAACTTATTTGAATGTGACGCTCATTATCAGTGTGCCGCCAGTTCAAGAACAAATACCTGGAGTTTATACATGATACAGAGATAAAGCTTGTTTTTCTAAATACAAAGCCGAATGTCTCTATCAAAATATTGCAGCATATTGGTTTAAATTTGGATTCTGCTTCTTGTACCTTGTTATACACGTCAACTGTCAACAGGTTTGTTGCTGCTGCTAATCCACTTCCCTAGACATGATCACTTGGTTTCCTGTTGTACAGCGGGCCTCCTTTATTCACTGAGCCACGTCTTCTGCCAACACCAATGCAGCTAGAAATACTGGTCTGCCTCTTCAATTGTTATTTCATCCTCCATGTCATTGTTTTGGTAGTTACACACTGGCTGTGTAAGCTGGATCCACCCCACATTGAGGTGTGATACAACTGAGCCATTAATTTGTCCGAGTGAGACGTTTCCTCATCGTAGAAGCCATGTTGAGAAATTGCAAAGCTTACTAAACTGCATTTAGGAAGATACTTTAAAGTTTACACTAGGTTTACTCGAGCTGTTTTTAATAGAAGACTCTCCATTCACAAAGTAAACAAAACAAGGAACAAGGAAGTAAAGCATGCAGGATGGCCCGATTGATGACCCAAAAGGCATTTGCAAATAAAAACGCCCGCCCAGGTTGATAACGAAACAATGATGATGGCGCACCTTCTGCTCTGAACCAATGCTGTTCATTTGGGGAAAAATAAAACAAAAACAAATGCGCGATCCCCCTCCCATCAGCCCAAAACCTCATCAGGAATTAGCTCAGGTCCATCCCACCCCTTCACCCTCTCCCTACACACTTTAGTGAAAATGTAAACAAATAAAGTTATTGTCAGTGATCTAGACAGTAGCAGCTTGTTTGAATGACTACAAATAATTGTAAATACACATTTTGCCATCGGCAGAAAACAGAGTTAGCACTTTGCTTTGACTACACTACATGTGGACACGTGTCTAGCTCAGCAAACACAGGCAGGAATAAGTGTGTAGCAAATATAAATATGCTTCTCAATATAAAAAAAATGAAAGTTGGAAGATATCCTATAATAAAAAAAGTCACTTCATTTTTTTAAAATCAATTTTATTGCACTGGCTTGTTTCACCTAAACATCCTGCAAGTATGAAGCAAAATACTTTGAATTTAGGTAGTTTTTGTATTCAAATGAATTAAGTGATTTAACCTGCAAGCGTCTTTTTTTTTTAAAAAAAGATGTAAAACATATTATTTAATGAATTTTATTTCATCCCAATATGGTTTTACGTGCTCCTAAATTCTCCAACTTATGAACACATGCGCTCCTTTGCAAAAAAGGGAAGCATAAAGCCCTTAAAAACTCCCTTACTTACCTGGGCCCAGATGTATCAACCATGCAAAGGCACAAAAACAATATGCTGCCATTTCAAGAACATGCACACCTTATGCATATTCCAGCCCAGGGAGACATGTGGATTTAAAAGCTGGCTGTGGGTGATATGAAGTAGATATTAAACATAAGGTGAGAAGTATAAGTTTCAAATTTGACATTGTTAGTTTAGGGCTTTTTTTCCCCATATTTCCATTGTGTTGTGTTTTTAATCTCCAAAGCAATCTTTGAAATTTAAACCACAGGTGCATTTGTACAGGCTTGTGTTGATGCATATTTCCATGTTTGTGTGCACGATGTTGTAGTCGTTTGTGTCACAATGCGTCATTTGCATAAGGTTGAAGTCGAGGCTAGTTTATGCAAAAGAGTGACGTCTGGTTGCCACTTGACATTTCAAAAAAAACTTTTAAACCAACT